TACTATATTCACTAGTGACGGTAGAAACGAGAGTCCCTCAATGGGGTCATGAATGAGGACTCCCATCATTTGAAATGTTTCTAAATATCATAAATTCAAGAACGAGGGGAACCGCCACATGCCAGCCTATCTGGAGTCTTTACTATCTGAACCTTGATAAACCGCAAAGTTCCGATGCTTTGGAGCCACAACATATGACTACGAGCTCATCGCTTAATCAATCTTCGGGTATGAAAACCGCTGTGTTTCATATTAAAGCATTCCAGGTTCAGGCAATTTGCTCTCAAGCTAACCGGGCAGCTTCCTGTTCTATTCGATGGTATTCCGGTACTACAGTGATTAACCATAAGTATCCGTTGAATTCATTGCGAACCACTCTACAGTTTGTGCCAATTAAGAATGCTGTGCGCCCCATCAGTGAACAAGCTTCTCCTCATTAATGACTTTGATATTTCCTTGCAAACTTCTATCATACGAGAATGCTGCTTAATGAAATTCCAAATAGCGTACCACCAGGTCCGACGACTTGAGACTTTGGCTGTTATTTGACCTAATAGAAGTTGCCTTGACAGTCTATATATTCGATCTTCAATGGTGTATCAATATTCATGCTCTTGCAGAACGTGGAATATTTCTGTCGATACTCAACGGCAAGCTTCTGGTACTCCTCGGCATCATACGTAATAAGTGCCGACGGGTGGAGTGGTGAACCATCTTCAAAATCCAGTGCCATGAGCACAATAGTTCGGAGAGCGGGGAACATTGACAGAATTGGCGAAGTGGATTGATTTTGATCCCAAAAGATTTCCCATTCCGTATCTTCGACAAGGAGAGCCTGGACGCTATCAAGCATTGGGCCGTATGATGCACCTAGTTCCTCTAGGCGTTCGTAATCACTTGTCATATCGCTACTGAGCCATAAAAGATCTCGCTGCAGGTTCATGTAGAAAGAGGTCTCGGGAAAGCTTGGATGTTGAATAGGTATGTAGTGTTTGAGTGTGTGCATACGGGACTCGTGACATATCCGCAGGGCGATAGGAGGAGGACAATCTTCAATGGTGGAACTGCATTCCACGATTCTCGAAGTAAAGTCTATCTCCAGAACTGTATGAAGGCCACCAAGCGGGCGCAGAATTGTCGGTTCACCGTATTCATCGTCTCCTCGATCGTCGAAGACAGACGTCGCTTCAATGACTCGCGGTTCGGGCCATGTATATTCCCAGATCATCAAGCGCAGTTCTGTTGGAAGGGCGATGAGGGAAGCCCTTCGAGTTATTGAAGACATTTCAACAGCATGTCCCTCTGTTTGGGCCATCTCTACCTCACTCTCCCGCCTTGACGGGTCGCTATATTTCCTTGGGCGCTTCCATGGAACGATCCCGTTGTGGTTAACTATGATAGATTTAGCCAATTGCAGATCGTTCGATCGTCTTGGAAGGGTCGAACCATGGAATAGTGTCATTCTAACTGCGGGATGAAAGTCTTATTGGATTATACTGGGGGAACCTCCTAGATTTTAACATTTACAGAATGCGGCTTAACTTGTCCTGTTGAGCCTTAAGTTATATAAACTAAACAAGCATCTTATCCAGACACACTCGAGTATCCGCATCACAATCCTGTTGCTGGATTGCCACGAGATGGACGAATTGTATTTTCTCTTTATGAGAGCCAAGGAGGCCGGACCCTGCGGTTAGTGCATCTAAGGAGTGGTCTTCGCCCGAACAGTCTAGATTTTAGGTGCCAAGAGCGAAGGCTGCATACTCTATTCCGAATATTGTACCGTTTTGATGCAGCCAAACGACCATCTTCGCGCAAGGAATTGACTTCACCGGAACGTATGTCTCAAGAACACACCAGCGCTGATCTTTATTTATGCCATTACATAGTTAAGTTTATTTATAACAAAATAGTACTAGTTATTTCTAGAAAACCCCAACCCTCAAAACTGACCGTGTATTTAAATGCACCTACATCAGCTTCAAATATGTGCACAGAACGAAGTAACACAGCTATTAGAATCTTACCTGGTTCAGGAACATTGGGTGTCGATGATCTTGTTTTCAAGCTAATAAGCGACACATAATTCGGTCACATCTGTGAGACTCGCACTAATGTACGCCACCATAAATTTCAACAAAGAAATCGTGCTGATAGTTTCCTAGTTAGAGCCACGAACCCTGAAAGAGAAGTTAAATATTATTGGCCCTATGCACTCTCAGAAGCGGAGCACCGGCCTTCTCGCTATAAACCTGGTTCCTGATGGCTATATCTGGTAAAAGGTGCGGGCCCAGGTTGCCTAGCGCCAACGCGAAATTCACGAGAAAGGCACACTTGCCTCAGATCGGCTTGACCGCCGCAAAGAGAACTCATTTATCGTGGTAGCAAACGAGCTATCTGTCGAACAGCTTATGCAGCACTGTGACTGAGTATACTCAACCTACCGTTGAAAACTATTCTATTCACTGCTAAAGATCAAGACCCTTGGGACCCGCACTCACTTCTCGTTTCCCTCTTGATCTAGGCAGGTCAGCGGACGTGACAGCACATACGCTCATACGCTCATACACCAGCCTCCAGGTTGAAGGCCGTCCAGCGGTCTCCCCTGCGACGATACAAGCGTCACATTCATGATACTAAAATAAGACCATCCACCGAAAAACCGAAATCCCCTAAGTGTAAACTTTCTGCCACGGATGGAAGGGGGATTTGATCTATTTCTCTCGCAGCTTATGCTTGTTTCATTACCATATATTACGCAATACTGCACTACAATTGTCTCAAGGGGAGGACGTGGCGTGCCCAAGCTCCTTTTCACGTAGGTTGAAGCAAAATATGTGTATAAATTATCATTCGCCGGTGTGTTGGGAGCTACAAACAACCTACACCTCGACCCAATGCCTGGAGACCAAAATTACATTTCGTGGACTTTAGTATTGATTCCAATTTATTTCCAAATACCCAATAAAGTCGGTATCGAGTGCCGAGCAATATAACCACCCAGATAGCCTCGCCTGCCCAACATTCATATACCGTCCTGGAAACAAAGAGATGGATCGTAATCCCTGCTAGTGACAAAAGTGAGGGGCCGGACCAATCCTGTCCAGGTTTGGCAACCCAGGGCGCTGCGCCATGAGATTTCTCATCGGTTAAGCTGATCTGAGACTTTCAATAACTCTATTCCATGGTCGTGCTGGCGTTTAGTGGCTGATTCTGGAGGACTAATTTAAATCCCAACCTTCCTCCAGCCGACTTCCCACTCTCCACGTTCCGCTGGAAACCGCACCTGTTTGAAGATCTTGTTTAAAATGAATCCCTGTCAAGAAAAGGTCTCAGACGTCGATTGCAGTTCGGCTTTGACAAATTGCGGGAAAGCGCTCCACAGTCAATTTTCTTCTACACAGCAAAGGCTGGAGTTAACACTCGAGCTGTCGCGGTCACTGGCAGCTGTTATCGACGGCGATAATAGCGTTGCGCGTCATTTTAGGATTCCTCTAGCGAGTGACTCTATGACAGGGAAGATTGACCAATTATTTGGCCAACTTCAACTTATGAAAGACGATGAAGGGGAAGTCGACAATAGTATTTGCTGGCTCGATGTGATTCTCGCTCCTTCGTATAAGTCAACGCGTCGGGAAGATGGCTATTATTACTTACGACTTGATGGACGCAGAGTATTAGTTCGGATGTCGGAAGCAAACCACAACTTTATCGAGTCTGGCCTTCCCCAAAAGCTCATTAATCCACGCTTATATCCAAGCGATGTACAGTCTGAGGCAGAGACGATGCGGTCAGTTCAGGGGTTCTTACTGAATTTGAACAATCTTGCCTTACAGAGTAAGTGTCCGCTTCAAATCATCAGCTGTTCTTGCCATTTCTCTGCCCCCATGCTTTACCTTACGTATTAACATGGGCAAAGTCATCGAGTTGAACAACAAATGCCGGACAAAAATAGGCGAAAGGCTTGAGAGTCTCAAGCAACTTAGTGCCGGCTACCCTCAAAACAATCGGACCCAGGATCAATCGAATCATGTAGGCCTGCAGAATACTACTGAGGCCCCTGAACCGGCGACACCAAAAGGAGCTAGGAAACGCAAGCGTGAGTCAGGACTTCTGAAAACCTTAGTTATGAAAACAACCTGATATTTTTCGTTAGCGTCTTCCATTATGCATCCGTGGGAGCCGGAGGAACTGGATCGTTTACCTCGGTGATTTCGGGACCACAAGCATCTAACGAGGAATGAGGTCGAGGCGAGATTCCAGCAGGACTTTGGTAGATTCCGAACCTTTGGTGCGATCGTAACCGCAAATTATCGGGCACGAAATGGGTATGGAACCCGTTGTGGAGGTTCGAAGCGGAAACTGCCCCCCGGTGACTCCTTACCACCATCAACGGCCATTAAATCCGCTCCTGTTGCCATACCCGGCCGCATCGATCCATTCTCACTGGCGTCCGATTCTGAACTCAGATCTTCCGTTCCATTTCTGGCTCCTCTCAGAGGCGTCAGCAGTCCGAGAACATCAACGGATGGAACCACCGAGAAGGAATGTACAGAGTCCCACCGAACCGCACACGTAGCAGGAGTAACTCCTCGAGACATGGAAGAAAGGCCTTTATGGAACAATTGCCCTTCTCTCAGCGCTTCAAGGGCCGAGGTAGATTTCGATCCAACGGATAGCGGGGTCCTGAACCCCGAGCCGATCACAAGCCACGAAATATCGTCAGGAAGAGACCAACAGTCGATCCAACACTGCGCTACCGATACTCGAGAGGGAAACAAATCCGACCGACTCCAGGGCGTGTGTGGAGCAGACAGCGTTATACCCGCTCCACCGGCAAATTCACACTGTCAGATCAACTCAGGTGGTTTAAATGCCCCCGCAGTAGCTCCCGAGAGCGCGGGTGCCGGATCATCAGCAAGTGGTTGTCGAGTCGATAACACCTACTACTAATATGCATTGTTTGCCTCGCGGCGTGAATGCAGCGAGTTCGACTCAAAATGATTGTGGAGCTCGCGACGATCCAGCGTCTTTATTACCTGCTCACAAGGAACAAGAAGCATCGCCGACGTCTTCTTCAGCGAAAACCACTGCTCGGGTCAAACATTCTCAGAATCCTAGAGCTCCATCTCAGGGAACAGGAGCTGGAGCGAGTTGTGTTACTTGTCGTCGCAGAACCACAGTATGCGACGGACGGTCTCCGAGATGTATGTCCCTTTTTCCTTTTTAAATTTGACGCAACTCGCCGAATGGCATTATGGGCGTAATCCTAGTGCTGATACTTCTGTTAAGGCGATAGTTGCTTTAGAAAGCTACCGTACAAGGGTCATAATTCGCAGAAACCCACAAGACCAAACGATTCATCTACTCCACAGCTGCCGGGAAACCAGTCTCCACAAGATGACACTCCCCATCATTACGGCCCGGTTGATTCCATCGAGCACGCTGTGGAAGGGAACAGCTCTGTCGGTTATCATGGACTCTCCGGCCAGCAACACAGCGTGCGTGCTGCCAACGAAGGCACTCCCTGGATGCCATCAAATGGAAGTTTGGTCAGCCCCGGTCCTCCAGCCTTCGTATCTGGACAAGATACGCCAGACGGTCGAGGAGTTTTAGCAGCGGTCAATAGATTGCCGCTCCCGAGCAACCCTGACACCGGTCTTCAGGTGATACCACCAATTGATCAGATTCTCAAGAGACGGTTTGTGCGTTCAAACCTGCCAGCATTCCCGGGTCGGAGCCAGCAGCACTAACTGGTCACTACTGTCAGTCCTTCGTGGCAATCGGTTTTTGATAGCATGGAATTTACACCTGATTGGAAGCTCTCTACCCTAAACATCTGCTATTAGTTTTCAGATCGGCACCTGGTTGGGGACCGTATCGCTCTTACAGCCACTTGTATTTTGTCCCTCTTTTAGGGCATGGCTTCACGCAAGTCAGAATCTTGACAAATGCCAGCGAATTTCCATTGCTGTGTGCTGATAGGTCACAGCGGGTTGGCGATAGACATTGGCAATCAACATAATGCTTTCGGAGTTTTTCTTTACTTTTGTTCCGGTACATGGCAATTCAAAGACGGTCTGGCGTGTCTTCTTATACCAATCGCCTATATTATGGTCTTCGGGCCGAAGGTCAAACAGGTAGTGGGCACCTAGATTGTCTTGTAGCGTTTGTGGTTGGTGATGTATGTTCTAAGCTGAGCTTCAAAACACAATGTGATGCTGTGGTATTCCGACCTGACACTTCTGTGAACCCTTCAAGGCCTCGGAAATTGGGTACCTTAATCGCCCGGGCAGACCATTAAGCTGAACGGCATTTTCTCCCTCATTGACCGGGGATGCACCAAACGGATCAGGTATTGTGAAGCATTCACTTTACAAAAATGGTCAAAGATTTTTGTACCCGCCAGTGAATTATTTTTAACGATTCCTCCATCTGATTCCTACACGATAGGGCACACGGCCGACTCTCTTCCTTCAAACAGTGCGGTGGCAAATCCCGAAAGACCGCGGAGCAAAGATGTTTCAGAGCACACCTACATCTATATGGGTGCTACTGTAGCAGGAATGCTGCGGAATGGTGCGAAGAGTTGTGGGGTGGCTACGTCTAAGAAGAACGGCGACCAACGTTTTCTTCCCAAAGCAAGGAGTAACCCTTTCCCCAGAAGTGCTCTAGGTGCAGAGGTAGCCTAATGGCGTACGTCGGTTTGCGGATTTCGTCCAATCCCAGAGCAAGATCTACTGTTAATTCATTAACGTAAGATATACAACAAATACAAAACCCTATCATATCGTCCACTCGCGAGCTGAATCCCCGAACAATTACTAGTTATTAGGGTATGATGTGACCTTGGACAGTCATCAGAAGTTGGAAAAATATCGAGCGTTTATGGACGAAAAAGATCAACGCAATCCGAGGACTAAACCCATGTATCGACCCCCTTTGGGGGCGAAACGGGCCGATTCCGCAACCTATTTTACGTTGGCCGGAGAGCCTCAGCCACCTCACACTAACAGATCCCTACGATCATCCAGACCTAACGGTAGTTAGGATCTAGTTAGCCAACTCCCAAATTCGTCTCTTCTCAGTCTACCTCCCACCAATTCCGCCATATGCATCCGAAGGTACGTATGCAAAAGCAGCTCTAACAGCCGTCCACAATACAATAACCAGTATTCTCCAGAGTCAGTGAAGATCAACAAGCACTATATAATCGGAACTTTTGGCAATCACGTGCGATTACGGTTTGTTAAAGAAGCAAGTGAGCTGATTTACTTCCAATCCCACGCCTTACACCGCTGTCTACCTTGAGGGACGTGGCAGACCTACGGGACCGACTTCGTTAGAAGCTATCTCTAGTCTCTACTATAATGGTCACAGATTAAAGCACCGCACACTCCAAATGAAACATAAAGACCCAGCGCAAAGCCATGTTCCAGCAAGAAAAGCCTTTGACCGGTCCGACCGGAACCGGATTGGCAATGAGGTGCTCGAACGGATGAGCTTAGGGAAAGAAGTGTGAACAAGGTCAGCGCTACATAAGGCAGTTGCAAGACTTACTGAGGCAACGGCAATGCCGGTCGAGAAATATACCCTCGGCCTGCAGCCAGCGTCATACTCCGAAACACTGACTCAGTCCATAACCTGAAAACAACACGTAGAGGTCAACCATCGGTGCCGAAAATGGCAACAAATATGTGCGGAACACGGACGCAAGCGATCCTGCTCTATTTCTTCCTTCAGAGAGATCTGCATAACGTAAAAGACGCACTAGAGATACTTAGATCTTTAACCGAGCCAGGGAAGGAAAACCCTGGAAGGCAGCAATGTATGACACCACGAGATACTTAAATCATATCCCAATCTAGAAGTCACTTGCTATAGAACTAACCAGCATAAAGGCGTAGACCTTTTAAATGGCTTTCCTTAAACAAACGAACCATGGAGAACTCGCCTAGCCGGATTCACTACTCTCGTAGCGATCTAGTACTCAGTTAGAGATTTAGTCATCTATTCAAGTAGTAGAATAATGTATAGTACCGGATGAAGGCGTCCTATCGATATTAATATAGAAATATCTGGAATACCTCGAATGCCTTAGGACTAGCATCTTCACTAATTCCATTAAGCTTGCATACCACATAAAACAATGGCGAAGCACAAAATCATGGCACTGCGGAAAAATAAAACAACCCTGAAAAAACCAGTCTCCTGGAGCAACATTTTAGGGGCGTGATTGAGCGTACTCCCCAAGCCTACCGTGGCTCGAGACTCCGGCTGCCTCAATACCTGATCCCAATTAATCCACACTTTGGCTAACGGCACGTTAGCCAAGTATGATGTTCATTAACACTTCGCCGCCAGTATTACGAAGCTCATGTCCACCTCTCTCCATGAGATATACTTTTTACTTGCCGGTGCTATAATTTATATAAGACCAGCCGAGCCACCCTTCGGCCAAATTCTATCTCTGAAATTCCTGGAGCGGCCATTTGAGACAAACCGCACAAGAGACTGTCATGGCTCAAAACAAGAAAAGTACTGGAAAACCGAGGACGGGGGATAATCAGTCTAACCGCCAAGGGTCCCAGTATCGAGTTGGTAAACAGTCCAAGTCAGCAGCAACAACAACAACAACAGATATTGCCGGGAAAACCATCGAGACTTTATTACGGTGCGATGGTTTAGACTACGAACGCATCTTAGGGGTTTCAAGAACAGCGAGTGAGAGAGAAAAGAAGACTGCACTGGATTCTTTGGCCAAAATACTTTATCCAGCGCGGCATGGTCCACAAGAACAAGTCTTTAAAGCAGAAGAGGCATATGAAAGTAAGAGCTTGTGCACAAGTGTAGCCATCTGATACTGACAGGTGCCGAAGAGGTTTGGACAGCTTTCTTCGAACTCAAGAATCTAGAGACATCTATGCCCGGATACGAGCCCGGCGAAGTCATGGATATAGATGAGTTGTATTACCGCGGCGATGAAAACGATGAGTCGGCGTTATCTGAGGATGACCAGAAGAAAGTACATATACAAGGTGTATTGCGTCAGATTGAAACCCGCCTTGGCGATAGTACGATGCGAGAAGCATTGAAGGGTATAATGAAACATTATCAAGATGCGTTCGACAAGGTCAAAGAATTTTTGGCTGATCCGGAAAACGAGGAGGTATTTCAACAATTATTGGCGTATCAAATGAAAATCCAGCGTCAGAAGAAAGCTTTCAATCTCAATGTCGAATATCTACGCGATGTAGTCAGATGCATTATTGCCTGCCACGAAAGGTTACTTGAAAACCCACAAGACATGCTCGAAAAGTGCAGATATACAGAAGCTTTGGTTACCTTTGAATGTTAGAGACGGTACGACGGATGGTCAAGGGATTGGAATCTTCGAGAGTCTGACGAGGCGGTCTTTGTGGCCTTCGGTGCAATGGCCGATCCTTACATCCATGTCTTAAAGAGTGATCCCAAAAACAAAGAAGCCAAAGCCAAAGTGCGAGACCTGGACGTCCGGCTTCAAACCTGGTTCAATTCAAACCAGCAAATGGGATCATGGGACGAGCTCATCGGTTTCTACAATCAATTGGCTTCCATCATGCCGGATAGTCAAGCTGATCACGAGCTCCACCTCCAGCTAGAGGACTTCCTTGAGACAAATCACTACCCTCTCTCTTGGGCAATGAGAGCTCCATTTGCAAGGAGAAGCAGAAAGGCTAGCTCGGAACCTGGGACAGATGCAGTGATTGGTGAAGCCCCACCCACAGGAGCCGCGGACACTATAGCTGTGACTGCAGGGCCTGGGACAAAAGCCGGTGCAGCGGGTTATAAAGTCCCAACCACAAGAGCCGGAGAGATTATATGTGGCTACAAACACATAATTCGCCACTTTGGCGATAAAGCAAAAAGGGAAAATGAATTTGGACGGCAGCTAATGGATGAGGAATGGGACGCGTTCGCCAGCCACGCATACGTATTTGCAATTCTATCGGATAGTGGAGCTCTGATCGGCGAGCTAAGATCTGTTAGTCAGATAGGGTATACGGTGAGGGATGAATATCTAAATTGGGACGGCAAAAAGGAGTTGAGAAAGGCTGGAAAGAACGACAGGGTCCGGTGGCAGAGGTTAGAGGCCGTCTTTGTGCGTCCACGCGGCAAGAATGACGAAGGGCATGGGGGGAAGAAACAGCGTGCCCCATAGATTTGGGTGATGCCATTACTGGCGGATCAGTTGAAAGACGGGAGTTTGGTCAAGATTGACAAGCCGCTGCTCACACGAATCGAATATCGTAAACTTCGGAACGGTAAGGACGCGGATCATGATATTGTGGAGTTCTTCGAGGAGAATGGCCAAGAACCCCTCAACGAAGTGAGGGGGAGCAGCGGTAATACTAGGACCGACTTCGAGCGACCGATGGTCCGAATGCCCAAGCAAATATCGAATATCAGAGAAGCTACGGAACCTCTTAGTCAGTCCGAAGTCGTCAACGTGCTCTACGTACATGAGAAACAGATGAAGGAGATGAAGGGACAGATGGAGAAGATGGAGAAGGCAGTGAATTGGGCCAAGAAGTTCCAGACCGCTTGATACAGCGGATGGTGAACCAAGGAGATCGCATCTTTGAGGGTCGCTTGTTCTGAGGTGCACTATACTTTGGACCCTGCCGAAGGCGAGAGGACAGAAGGGGCGGTTAGCGAGCCGGGGAATATCAATTCCCGAATTCGCCAATATTACCTGGCCCACTGGGCGTCATTAACTATCGGGGGTTTCTATGTGGTTGGGGGTTGAAGCAGGGACGCCGCCTCGGAGAAAGGTGGATCGAAAACTTCCGTTCCAGGAAGCAAGACACGCTTCCAATGTATTCAGGTGACCCAGGCAAAAACCTATCGTTCGGCCAATGTGGCGCCTTGACTGCCCACCTCTCTCCAAATGGGATGGGTAGGCTACTCACAGCGGCCCATGACATTGAGCCTGTCCTTAATACGAGCCTGTCTCCGATACATTGGAATGCGAATAGGAAGTCGAGAGGGGAAACCTGCGAGGCATGTGGGAGTCCTAAGGATCCTGCAGTGGCTGGATCCCTGATTGAGAGCATTTCGGCTGTATTATAGACTATTTGTGACTGCGGTAGTGTTATACCTACAATAAGAGATTTAGTCGCCAGATATTTGAAGGTGGATCCTAGTACAGTGCTCCCAATCCTCTATTCCCTTGCTATCGCCGCCAGCAAACAGTAAAGGCAGGCGCATTAGAAGTATTGAACATGGAAAGGGTCCAATCGACCTGTTGCCATACGAGGGACATATATTCTGTGAAGCTCCATGACAGGCAATCCACCCGTGAGTCCATTCGCCAGCTAACAATCACAACCTACCGTCGCCTAATAGACTTGCTCACGAAGCGGACATGGTGGCGGTCGTGGTTGAACCTGTCAGGGAAACACCAAAGCCAACAGTGGGGATATGTATACGGGTTTGGCAGGAGAATAAACAACCAATGTATTCTCTTGTAAAAGTATACAGTCGTTTTGCATGGAACGTTTAGGGATTTGTGTTGGGATGAGATTAGTAATGTTGGATTCAGCGGGTTCAGGGTGTTCGTGCGAAGAGATTAGAGCAGCCGATTGGGGAATTCCCGAGGATTTAAAGTAGCCTCGGTCGTAAATCCCTATGCGGGCAGTCCAAGTCTTGATGAAATCCGCAGAGAGTATGGTGTTCTCTGACAGGTTCAACGGCCAAGCCCATCCTCGAATGTTTCGAGTTGGTTCTTTTGATGCCTCTCTTCCGCGGACACTTTCAGAATGCCTTCATCGTCATTATGACGAGTTATGTCGCTTCCTCCTTTTTAACAACAGACTGTGGTGAAAGTTCAATGACAAGCCCGTATGTGTGACACATCGAAGGAGGTCCGACATTACAATAACGGCGTTTTCCTTCGACGATTTGATATTTAACGAAGAGCACTAAATACGAATGTGGGGCCATAGAAACGGTGGTGCATGTACCGATAGACTGTCCAAGATTGCGGGCCCTGAGATAGAACCCACGCAAGGACATAGGGGACGGAATCAATGACGCTACGGTCATGCTCAGGCGCCTCGGAAGAATCTGCACAAAAGCCAGTCTTCCGGCTATGCTGTTTTTTACAGAAGCATACGATAGGCTTTGAAGTCGCGTGACAAGGGGGCTGCCAGGAAGGGAATCGCGGCGCGGAGGCCACATCAGGCTACATGTCCGGTTAGGAAAGATAGTTAGCGGTAGTAGCTCCCCGTATATCGCCAACAGTCAAGGGGTCAAGTGTATGAACCCATCCAACCATCATTAATGCCAATTCTGAGCGTCCAAGTATATATGCTTATTACATTCTATGAGTCCTGAATTCCCTCGCCATTATTTCCATCTGTCACATCGGCATGCATGGAGTGTACGAAATCAACTGGGCAAAGGCAACAAGAAACAAAGCAAGTTCCCACTCTTGTAGCTTTCGCAACTCCTATATTTCAATTGTTAAACAGGCCTCTATCCATTGTACCTGTCGGACATTCTCGCGCAAACGGGAGTAATCTGCAAAGTTGAATAAATACAACATGATCAGTCTGGAGTGGTATTTTCAAGAGCCTTTAGGAGTAGACCGGGGAGGTAGATTTCCTTCTCCCAAGAGGTTCCGATGATAACAAATGACCACGGATCTACCGCTTTAACCGCTGGGTACAGACTGAAGTCCTCATCCGGACCAGGTGCTGCGTGCACGCTCGCAAAATCGTGCCAAGATGATTCCTCCAGAGTCTTTCTCGAATCTGAGAGACAGATTTTATCAATAGTTATCTCTTTTGTGCAAGCGCCCGCCTTGACCCGATCTAGGTGCTATATCTCGCGTACGTAGACCTCGATGCTCTCGGTCTGTCGAGCTCTTTTAAGTTCCTCAAACAATTTGTCTGGGTTGTCCTCTGATGACATGATAAATTCAACCACAGGCAGTTGGCGACAATGATACTAGATGCCGTCGTCCTCGGCAGCATACCCTTGCGTCACCTTATCTATATATGGTTCACATCCGTTCGTAAGGAGCTTCTTGTCGTTCAGAGCAAGTAATCCCGGTATCATTGCTCTTGTTTCATTCAAATCGCCGATACAGTAGGGCGAATTGTGGGTTTCGCCTCGAAGAAATCGCTTATTCAGTTCTAGTATGTTACCGAAGCAAGATGTCTTCCATCAGACCTTTAGTTTTTCGCCGTGGACCACTGGATAACTAGGTGACTCTTTCCGGTCATCGTCAGACATTTGGCAAGAAGGGCTAGTCTGAGACAATAGGGGATATGTAAGTCTTGTGTAATAATCGGAACGTGGAAGTCAGCTGCGGAGATTAATGTCTCATAAACTAGATACAGTATGCCAATCAATAGGGAATTTATCATACTTTTCGTAGGAGTTAAGGGTGTAGTCATAGGCCCTCCCTCTGCCAGATATTCTAAGCGCATTTATATCCTCAACTCATGCAGGTATATACGCGTGGTTCTAGCTGCGTAGAAGCATACGTACTGTAGATCGATGGAGAACGCTCGATTTATTTTTTTGGTCTCCTTAGGTACGCAGTTAACGATCCTTGGCCGGTAGAATCTCCGATATGTACGTTGGGTGAACTAAGGGATTATGTGCGACTACTGACTGGATCCTCCCCACTGAATGATGATATATATAGAAGGGACTATATAGTACGTCGAAGCACCAAATCCCAAGCCTGCTTGGGACATCGTGGCTGCTAGGCAAAAGGACAGAAGGCGAAGCGCCTTTTCTTTCTGTACAAGCGATCCGGAAGTGGCATCGATATCTATTACTGTCTTTCTTTTCCACTCTTGTAAAGGTTAGGCAAGCACTAAGATATACAGACCAATAGTGCCAAGAAAGGACTAACCATATGAGGACGGAATCTCACTAAGACATGCTAATGCAGACAGAGAAAAATGGACGCTAGAAGTGATTCCAGCCCACATTACAGATGAATCCGCCTTGTCCCAAGCCTCTTTTACGGTTTTAGAGCCGCCAAATAACTTGTTTTACAAAGTCCAGCTCGTTCCATTGGAGAGTTGTCGGGCGCACATAGCTGCGTATACACACGTGGACGTTTCAGCCGCTGGGCAGGGGCCGCTCGTGTGTATTTCACAAGAACGGATCTAGAGTTTCTAGACGGGACGATAGACTGCTATGACATTTGCTCGAACCTCAGGACAATGGCCTATTGGTCGGTCAATAGAGTCACAGAGTGTTTACACACTTGTGTATACACACGGTGTCAACACCCGTGTGTATCTCACAAGAATGGATCTAGACTGCGCGATAGACCGCTATGACGTTTACTCGAATCTCAGGACGATAGCCTATTGGCCGGTCAATAGAGTCACACGGTGTGTTTACACACGGTGTCAAAATCCGTGTGTATCTCACAAGAATGGATCTAGACTGCGCGATGGACCACTATGACGTCCATCCCCAAGATTTGAGCGATTTTCCGTCATGGAGTGAGTTAATGCCGCAATGGCAATATCCGCTCAGTATGTTAATATTTTCCGCATTCACAGTAGAAGGCCGCGTAGTTGATATGAATTCTCTCATTGAGTAAGCATAGACGACTGCAATGCACTCACTACTTTACACTGATGTGAACTACTGTCGTCCGGGGGCGGGCAGGAAGCGCACATTGATCACTTAATCTTTTCGTCGTTCGATCCGCACGGTCTATAGGACATTAGTGTTCTGCGAGGCATCTTGTACCCAACCCTACCTTATCTACGTTGGAGTATCTCTCTTAGCATATTGTGCCTTTAACGGAGTCACCAAGGTCGGTCTTGAAGCTCGCTTATAATATAAGCGCGTTCCGGCGGCCGCACGGACTGGATCGCTAGCTTAATGAGTGACCGTTTACCAGTATTGGATTTGACATTCTCAACTAATGTGACATCTCCGGAAAATGCCGAATGCGGACACAGATCGCTGCTGTCTCCAACCCTATTTACATTCTTCAACTCTGATCTGGTGGACCAACCGGTCGACCTCCACGGAGGTGCATCGGCCTTCATGGATGACCACTTCCGGTGGCGAGCGGGGCCATCAGCACAGGCAAACTTCGAAGATCCAGTCTGAAGCCATCCTTCGCATATATAACGGCCGAGAAAACGGAACTTCTACACTGTACCGGAAAGGAAGGTCAGCAACAGAAAGGGAACATTTTCATGAATACTAAGAAGATTGAGCCATCCGAATCGGCACGGCCCCTGGAAGTGGTAGGAGCATTTGCAGCAGGTGGTTAAACGAGCAACGAAAGTCACCATCGCCCTCAGCGGACTCAGGCAGCTACGGCCTGAGCAGATGAGAGAGATATACCGAGTATGTGTGGTCCCAGTACTAGACTACCCATCGACCATCTGGCACGACCCTTCCCGCGATAAAACCCAGCTGCGATTGCTAGGGCCAGTTGAGTGACCCGCACAGATATGCATTCTCCCCGTCTCCAAGACGTTAGCAACCGCGACGCTAGAGGCAGAGGCGAATGTTCTCCCCACCCATCTCCGCCTCCATGACCCTGCACGGAATGCCATAACTGACACGGACAGCACATTCTCTAGGTTTCCCCTTGCAGAAGCTCTGAAGAGAATGCGGCTAGAAAGACTGGACAGACCGGAAAAGATCGTTCGAAAGCTGCTTCCCCCAGATCCCCCGAGTTCAAACAAATCGAAATCAATAGGACCGAGAAAGGGCGAAATGAATTCAGTGAACATAAGAATTGACTCTGATATCGTCGCCTATTCAAATGCGTCTGTCCGTCACGGTCACCTAGGCCCCACTGCTGTAGCTCTCAACAACAATATAGAGATCACCGAGCATCGCCAGACTCAAGTCGGACCCGCAGGTCAGTGATCGACCCACGCGGCAGAACTAAGTGGCAGACGCCAAAGATCGAATCGACACCCATTGTCAGCAACTCTTTGCGACAGCGTATCCACTCTTCAAGTGCTACAGAGTCTGGGGAACATTCTAACACAACGAATTATCCGTATCGCCCTACGGGCAGCCAGCGAAGCCAGAGCCAGGGGAATTACGCTCCACCTCCATTGGATACCCGGCAGCGACCAAGGTAGGACAAGGCAAGTAGATACGGTCCCGCGCGTCAGTACGATCGAAGCAGTGCTGGGCTTTGCAGAAGCATCGCAACGGTTCCGTAGCCGCGCGCCACGGGGGCAGCCAAAGAGCAATTAGACCACGATAGGCCTTGGCGAGGCTCGAAGTTCGTTTTGGGAAGCGGCACAGTACATACAGGGGTATATATAGTTATGGTAGTCTGCTCATCGCTTCTGATTCGATGGGCCAGGGTAAATGAAATCAACCAACCAACCAGTTGGGCATATGACGGTAGAAGACTTTCATGTCTCTGATCAGGTTCTGGATCCGGGGTGAGATGGGCTGAGAGCCCCAAATATCTAACAGCGATGATTTTGAAGGTGTGGTTCTGGTGACTTTCTCCTGGATAGTGAGACGGAGGCCTCGGTCCCTCCTAGCAAAACTGCATCTGGGAATTATTTTCTGACCTTTGGTCACAACGGAGAAGCTGTACTGTGCCTTATGTCACCCTGGCGGGATATCATATCGTGGGAAGTTGTTACAGATTAGATGTCACATTATAGCTGCGCTAGGTGTAGCTGTCTGTGGTTTGATTATGAGAATTGTTGCATCGCAGGGCTAGCCAGCTCGGAGTCCGAGGACTACACCCATTCCATGATTTACGGGAGTTATGAGATCGTCATATTTATAAACTGCAACTTTATTATCCACGGAAGTACTTCTCGTGACCTGACACTTATTTAGGTTCATGCTTGTCTTCTATGGCATTATCTTGCTTTCCATTCCAAATCCAGTCATTATGACATTCCGATATTTGCCGAATGAGCTTGTACTCGAGATAGTTCAGGGACTAGATCACGTAAAGGACATATGCGCACTGATGCAAACTTGCCATTGGTTATATGAGCTGCTTCAGTCAAGACTATATCAATTCAACATCGATTACCAGCAGAGCTCTGCGTTTCTTTGGGTTGTTGAGCGCGGAAATGTACCGTTGGCGGCATTCTTTTTTCAACTTCGGCGAGTGAACGTGAATGTGATAGACGAGAATGGTTTAAATGCGCTCCATATAGCGTGTCGAAAGGGGCATTACGACATGTTAAAAATTATACTTTGTCAACAACACGTGAATCCCAACGTAACCGATTTTTGTGGTTAGACGCCTTTATTATACACCGCCGGGAAAGGTCGTCTGTCGCTGGTGAGTCCATTATTAGCGCATAGCGATATCAACCCTAATTTGGGCGACAACCATGGCCAGACACCATTATATATTGCAGTGAAAGGCCGGTTCTACGGCGTGGTGAAATTACTACTTGCGGATGTCAGGGTTAATTCCAATCTGGGCTCTGAAGACACAGGATATTTCCCGCTCATTCTTGCCGCATCGAAGAGTGATACGCAGATCTTTGATATCTTCTCAATCACCGACCGCGTGGATTTCAACCGTGGAGGTTCAAAGGCCCCTGTTCCGCTTCTAACAGCGCTACTCTGTGAGGAAGAAGTTTTCGCAATCAGGCTGCTTCAAATACCCCAACTGGACTTGGACTGTGAAACATTATTGAGATATATATCGCTCATGCAAGCCATTCGAGCGGATCAATATCGATTTTTGACAGCGTTATTGAAGAGGAGTGGGGTCAACCTTGCTCATCAGAACTGGAAAGGTAAAATTGCAATCACTATTGCAGCCGACAAGAAAAACATTAGAATCTTCAAAGAGTTTCAGAATGTTTCGATTCGTCAAAGCCTTATCTCGCGTCAATTATCAACATCAGTCCTTTCTTCCGAGTACGAGCTCGTGCAATAAAACATATATTCTGAACAGGCCTCCCAATGTGGTATTATTGCATTCTAATGCTCCAGATGTTATCCCGACAACGAACGCCGGTTCGCTTAATATATCCACCACTATAGAGACTATAGAGATTACTGTGGATCTGGCAACCCCGTCATCGCACACCACTGCAGTCCGTAGCGGATACGGTCTGATTTGCAATAAGGATGCTCCCTGCTTTGATGATGTGATCTTTTATGATACTGTCACTTCTTCGGATAACCCTGGCAGCTGCGGCTGGACCAACGATGGCTTGTCTGAGAATGTTGCGGCATTGTCACATCTGTTTATGAAAGATCACGATTGCGGACGTGCTCTGACCATCAGTTACAGAGGTATGGTCAAGACCGGGAGGGTGGTCGACAAGTGCATGGGCTGTTCCTTGACCTCGATTGATATTTCGCGTCACTTCTTCTCGGAGCTCTTTGATCCGGACGAGGGCCGCCTCACCGGTATCAAATGGTGGCTGGATTAGAAAGGGGGTAGGCCTGGTACAGACGTCCTGGAGGCGAAGCCTGCGGCGAGTGAAAACTTTGATTGAGAAGCAGACGCGTCATGGCGACGATTATCGACGTACGTTACGTATGGCACTTTCTAGGACATGTCGGAATATTGGGTTGATAAAAGCAAGCCACTACCTGTCATTTATTCCAAAAAACCTTTCATAGTTGGCATTTGATTCTTGAATCTGGGAAGCGAAGGTTCTTTCGCCATCTTCTAACATCCAGCGCGCGTTATGTATTCTATCAAGTCCCTTTCGATATGTCTCAAAAGCGGGCCTAAGTTCTGCAATCGCATCAAACTCGGGCGTTATGAGGCTGTTAGACCGATGGCCAGAGTTTGTAGTCTCAAAGAGTATATAAAATTGCACAAGAGTGTTTTGGATCTCCTCCGCACCGCGACAGAGTAATTCTGTCGCACGCTTTATTGTATTTTGTTGGAGAGCTGTAGCAGAGTTGTGGATCTCTCGAAGCCATGTATTTTTCGTTTGCAAAACAGACTTGTTGGAAAGAGCTCGATGGTATTTCTCGCGCTCGGTGAGACGCTCATTCTTTGTCCGCTGGAGCTCACGGGGGGACAGGTCCGTTGCGGAGCTGTGTCCACCCTGAAGAAGGATATGGTATTCGAATGAACTTGGTGTGCCCGGCCGATCGGAAGATTTGTTCGATAATTCTATATCTCTGTCGCTGCTTTCACGGTGAAATAGAGCGTCTGGCTGGTCCCTGCAATCGAACTAGCAATTATCGATTTGCGAAGTGCAAGCAGGGAAGTATCCGATATGATGTACGGCCTATTTCTCCATGGCGGTGTTGGGAATATGAAGAGTGTAAAACGATTCGTTCTCTGCGTGGACGAATGGGAGCGAGGTCTCGAGATAGGCATTAAACCGGACTTTACGCGCCGAAAGCTAAGCAAGCCGGGACGGTGGGGCTTGTGTAGACGGGCGCAACAAGTTAGAGTGCCTGGTTTTCGAGGCTTAGTCCAGTCTGCCAAACCCTCGCTGATGGGATACATGATGCGGGCGATATAAGATAACATGCAAGATCCCCAACCTTGACCGTGTCGCAATGGCAAGCACCATGGCTGCAGAGCCCGACGTCATCTGGATCAGGCTTGTCAGCCGAGCCACGGGTACATTTGTTCAGCACGAAAGGCTCCTGAGTAGTATAAAGAAACATCTCACTTCACCCGAGACGCAATTCTCGAGCCTTGTGCTTTTTCTGGGCGAGCACCGCATGCATGCTGCTCTCAGGCATCTTTTCATAGCCAATATTATCACATCTCAAAGGCCAAATCTCCACCTCCGGGTGGATAACAGCACCTGGTTCGGCGACTATCCTGTTTTATTTGCAGATTGTGATCCCAACACCATACTCTTGGAGGACGAAGACGATGATGTTCCGTTTAGCGAGAAATTTATTGTTCTCTGGGCATCGGACCTGGCGTGTTACATTCATGATATCATACTTTCTCGTGTCTTTAGCCTGTTTGCTGATGTTATCTGCATCTTCGCGGACGATGTGGGTGGCGCGCACGCGGTACAGACCGTGTTGGCGACATGGGCAAGGTTCTCGCGAAAGGGATCCAGTCTAGATTATCAGTTATGGATTCTGGCCATTGTCGAAGACAGCGCGAGCATCACGCAGGATATATTCATGAAGTACGATTTCGACTATTACAGCTTGGATATCTTCGACGTTTTCTGTACATCAAGGGTTGTGCATTTAGCGTGGTATGATGATGCAGACGCGGGTGCCGTCCAGAATAGGATTCTACAAGACGGAATAAACGAAGGACTTGAAGGCAGCCAGAATCAACGATGTGAAGATGAATATCTGTTTTCGGCAGCGCATTTGGACAGCTTATTTCATCGGGTACTGCAGCATGTCTGCCGCGCGCCGGATGTACCGTTCGACTTCGTTCGGGGAGCACGGGGGGGTACGGTGGACGAATGTGATCCACTGTCACATTTGGTAGATTTCATGAATCTGACGTGCGGTTGGAACGCAGAGAGTCGGGCCACGGTAATCGCGTCCGCGTTTCTGGTCGACGCGTACCGCTCTGGAGCGCACTGTCAGAACATATTCGTGACCGTATCCGCACCCAACATACGCTAATCGACTTTGTCTTTTAGACTTTAATACAGCGGCGGTTTTTGACTCGCTCTACCGTAAATTATGTGGGGAGGCGTTCAGCGTCTCCGCCGCGCCAACTTTACGATGGCAGCTGGTGGAGTACCAGTTAATTGGGTTCTATCGCCAGCTTTTACTTGACCAAGAGCCGTCACGCAGGATCCATGAAGCAAACCTTGCTCGAATGACCGATATTTTTTTAGGCGTTGTTTCTTGCCAAACCTGCCTCGCATGTCTATTGCGTCCCCCGCAGCATCCGCTTTCGTGTGAACACGCTTATTGCGATACATGTGTCGCCGGGTATGGGGTGCCTGTTGAAGGGGGGGAATACTAGTACCTGATCCGGGACTGCATCATCTGCCAAAGGCCTTGTGGGAACATCGTCAACGTGCTGCCCTCGATGGGCTGTGTGTGAGCAATTGCCGTGGATGGCGGTGGCGTTCGCGGCTTCATTTCTCTGCGTTTCCTGGATTGTCTCCAACGGCAAGTCGGCCCGGAATGTCCTTTATCGAATCTATTTGACGTTGCTTTTGGCACGCGATCAGGTGGGTTGTTTTTCCCTCCCGTCCCCGCAACGAACATCGCGCCTGTCAGCAAGCATTGACGATCGACAGGTGGTATTGTAGTCTTGAAGATTTTCCATCAGCATTGTTCCGTTGGCGAATGTGCGCAAGGGTTTTTGTACATGATGGAACGGTTCTTCCAGGAACCATCGCCCCTATCGTATTGGGAAAGGTTCTTCCGTGCGGTTAAATGCTGGTGGACTGGCGGATGGTACAGTGCGAAAAAGTGAGACGAGCTTCTGCAAGAGCAGTTCGACTCCGAAACACGTATGTTTGATGTGCAGTCGGTATCAGGGGTGAAAGTGGCGGTAGTAACAGTCGCAGGCAAGCGCCCGGTGCTGCTGGTCAATCATTGAAGGACGCGAGCGGTAGCTGATCAAGGTGGGTTTGATGCTTTCGGTGACCGCACGTTAGATAACAGTCTTCTGTTTAGGGATCTATCAAGTACATCTGCCTACGAATCTGAGCCAGGACCCAAAATTATGGCAATGGTTGGTTCTGACTTTCGCGTTTGTCGAATGAGTTCTGCAGAACGGTTCTGATTCATTCAATAGTGCACGAGCGATTACTGCTGTCCCTGCGTCAGATCCCTTCCGCCTCACGTCTCGAACACGAACTGACCCATCTCAGTCTCTTTTCGCCCATTCAGCTAGCGGGCATCGGGAACTGTGAATATGGCGGCTCCAAGTTCGATAACCCGTTCACGTTCTGCCGCTTCGAGACCAGGTTCATGTGGTCGGCGAGATCGGAGCCTGTCTGCTTTGTTTTTCTCGGCACAGGTTGCTTTTTCAGGCATGTATCACGTGGCGGTCACACGCGTTTGATCTGGATCTGAGGGTTTGCGTTCCGTCTATACAACGCGTTTGTGGCGTCCACGGACGCCGAGCAGGCCTGGGAAGACTTTCTGAATCAAATCCATCCAGCAAGGAAGAAAGACTATCACTGACTCAACATCACCTTCCCTGGCCAGGAGTCGTTTTCAAATGTATTCGCGCAGATGCGATGGATGGTCAGTCTTGTTGACAAGATCGCTGCAGATCAGGTGTCACCGGCCTTGATCTCGGTCCTCCTCGTCAGTCTCTTTCTGAAGTTATTGTCGGCTCCCCGTTGGGAAAATGGACGGTATCATTGCATAGGGACAATCAGGTGCCGTGTACAGGGTAGGATCTTTGTTTCTATCTTGAGAAGGCTTCATCCTCGGGCCTCGTCGTATATTCTGGATGGCGAGGTGTTCAATATATTGCCATACGATGACGCCATTTGTCTACATTGTGCTCGATACCGCGTTCCGGTTCGTCTGGCCGTCAACAATCCGGAAATCTAGATTTCCTTCTTTATTCAGTTCGATGGTCACAATGCAAGGCCCGTAGCTGGGTTTCCGACATCCTTGGGCTGGCTGCTCGAGAGACAAGGGCTGGATTCCTTTGGCTGTGCTGTCACTAGCCCGCAGGATCTACTGGCGCGTAGTGAATGCAGGTCGTGTGATCTGAAAATCTACCGGAAAGGCAGCTCGATACAGAAGCCCACAGTCTACCGGAAAAGGGTCCGCTTTATCTGAAGGGAAGCGAGTTTTGGCTGCTAGCCTTCCGGCTCCTTAGAGGATTTTAACCCCTGTGGTAACAGTGTTAGGTTCAAATGGCTTGTTACGCAATTCGGGCCCATCTATAAGAGGACGAAATTGCAGCATGCGGCAGTAGCTGTCCTAATGTGGGCAGGTGCCTGGGATCAGTAGGCTGGTAATGAGGATTCGGTTTCAGATCAGGTTTTGGCGGTCGGCACATCGCATATACATCATGAAAGCAACTTGTGTGATAGCTCGGTCGCGTATACCAGGCTAGCTCCCGTTTTCTAATGTCATGGCTTGACATCGACATCGTAATATCTTCTGGATAGTGTTGACTGGACTTCCCAAGGATAAAGCATCGTGCACAAGATGATTGTGTCCTTGTTTATATATATTGATATGGATACGTGTTATGGTAGCCTTTGCCACTAAGATGGACCGCCATGGGGATTGTAGGTTCGTGGAAAAGAGCGCATGAATCCCAAACTGGATATTGTGCTAAAATACTTGCGAGGCACTATATAAGCAATTTCCATTGACTTCTTGTGCAAAGTGAATCCTTGGTATCTATCGAATCAAGAGATTTGCTTACAATCTACCACGACTGGCTTCCTTTGAGACTCGGTCCTAACAAGCCTAAGACTTGATTGGGAACGTCTTCCTAAAACTATTCTATACGCAGAGAGAACTACCGAATAGGAGAACGATCTGGGAACCCGAACCCTTTATTTCTAACGCTTTTGACGTCGCAGCGCGATGATAGGATTAACCATTATCCTTTCCATTCTCGTGATGGCAGTAAGTGGTTAATTTGCGCCTTCATCACACAGCCTGATATCTTTAGGCACGTGCGCAGGAGGGATCTCCCATCGTATTTGATCCCAGCATTGAAAAGATGGTAGGATAAAACAAAATGCGCCGTATGTGGAGGTGTGATCTAATCACTAAAGGTGTTGAATGTTCCCACATTCCCAGCAATCAAATATGACAGAGGAAATCGACACTCGAAGAGAGCGCAGGTATTTTTAGCGAATATGAATCTCGGCATCTGTATGCTAACTAGTTGAAAGTCCTGGGAACCCGTCTGTTCTATTGATTATGGACTAGCACGGCAAAATGAGACAATATCCAACATAGCCCATCTGTCTGACGTGAAGGATATTACATGCAGCGTGTCGGCTGCTCACTGCTCGAGGTTGTCTCATCAGGGCGTTTCATCGATCTTCCTCTGCAATTTCGTATGTGATGTTGTTAAAAATCAGCCATGAGATCTGTCTCAACATAGATTTTGAGGAAGATATTAATACCTGTGCATAGAACACCTATTCCATTCAAAGGCGGTGCGGGGATTTATTAGATCCGGTAGGCAGTGTCAACAATACGTGCCGCGTGAGGAATCATTATACCTATGGTTATATTTTCTTGTGGTCCGAATTGCAGCCTTTTATGCTCATCATCGGAGATGACTATTCATTTATCGCTTAGAACTCGGTTTAGGGACCCGCAAACTTTGGGCGGCTCAGGGTATGTTAATGGCATGCTAGGAATTCCTGTTTTTTTTTTTTTTTTTTTTTTTTTTTTTTTCATCTTCCTATCTCTTTGTTTCAGAATCATATCGTCCCGTGTGAGAGCGACAGGCTAATCGGACAGACTGCATGTATCAACATAAGGTTTTTCTTTGTGTGAATGATTACCTACGTACCGTGTACTACTCACAGTAGGTGTAGATGTATTTTCATATTAGCCTTGGGCCCTCTCTGACTTATTATATATAATGTCGCATTGGTCTCTGTAAGGCCATTTGATATTAGTGCTCATCATTATTACTGTGATTGAAGCGTACCCCGGACGAAGGTCTTGACTACGAATTCAGTATTATGCTGTCTAAATTCATCCCATTTATACTTGTGATACTCCCGGTAATAGCCGTCGCCATTCAGGTGCCGAAGAATGGATCACTTGCGACGGCCATTGATCGTCTTGTATTCTGCCACTTCATGGTAGGTTGTCATTATAGACAGTTAAGGCCTTAAGGGGTATACCAGCTAACATCAAAACCGCAGATTGGCATCTGCAGCAATCGCAACAGCGTGGCTGATTATGACGACGACATGAAGCGCGCAAAAGCATTGGGTATCGATGCTTTTGCGTTAAACATTGGCATAGATCTTTACATTGATCAGCAGCTGAATTTGGCATACGAATCAGTCTTTCGGAATAACATGAAGGTTTTTATTTTTTTTGACTTTAATTGATACAATGTTGGGCAGGCGACGGCCGTTGGCCAGAAGATCAGATAGTACATTAGCCTGTTTGCGCAGTTCAGGGTTGATGGTAAGATCTTTGCGTCTTCGTTTGCTGGCGACGGTCTTGATATTGGCCAAATGAAATCTGCGGTCGGCTTGGAAGTGTTCTTTGTTTTCAATTTTTATCCGAATCAGGGATGCTTCAATATCATAGATGGTGTATTGAACTGGATGGCTTGGGACAATAATGGCAACAACAAGGTGTTGACTCCGGGGCATAATATCTCTGTCGCTGAGGGTGATATGATGTATATCGATGCGCTCAAGGGCAAGTTGTATGTTGTGCGTGAGTTTCGGCTTTATTTAAGCTATGTCATTTTCCGGGCTGACTGTACCAGCCGTTTCGGGATGGTTCTTTACTCATTTTGGAAGCGAGGTGTCTTATAGCAAGAATTGGGTGTTTCTCAGTGATCTTTTGTGGTACACGCGGTGGAAGGATATCTTGAATCTTGGTCCTCGCTTCATCGAAATCATTATCTGGAATGATTACGGAGAATCGCATTATATTGGATCACTAGCATCTTCTCACACGGATGATGGTGCATCGGAATGGGTTATGGATATGTGAGCATTTTTGTGACACCGTCATGGATGGGGAGAATTCTGATATGTTTGTTACTCCCAGGTCACATGGGGGCTGGCTGCAGATGTCTAAGCCCTTTATTTTCGTTTATAAAGCCGGTGACAGGGCTGTCGATAGCCATATCGAAGATGAGAAGCTTGTTTATTGGTATCGATTCATGTCGCGGACATTAAACTGTAACAATACGGATTTTATCATGCGCGGGAGTCTTGACAATAGCACTGGCAATTTCTTTCGCGACCGTTCGAATGGTTGGGAGATTATGCAGGACCAAGTCTTTGTAGTGTCTTTGTTCAAGTTTTCGGCGATGGTAGAAGTCATTTTGGGGTAGAACAACCAGAAGTTTGAAGTCCGGGCCGGGGTCAGTTCCTTTACGGTGCCCATGGGGGTGGGCCAGCAGAAATTCTCATTTGCGCGCAACGGCAAGACGGTACAGAGTGACATCAGTCTCAAGGACATTGTCAACACTTGCATTTGCGGAGTGTACAACTTCAATTCCTATGTGGGCGTTGTTCTATCTGAGAATACTGTCGATGAACTTGCACCCGCAGGGCTTGCAATGTTGCAGCAGGGATTGAACGCACCATGCCCAACCAACAGCTTGGGCACGGGTCGGCCTCGCGCTACATACGCATGACTTTTCTTTCCATTTTCCCCTTCATGGTGACTGGGAATTTGGCCATACTCAACGTATGGAAAAGGGAAAGGCCCTGTTTTCTTAGTCCACGTATTGCACTGAAATTGCCATCTTGCTTATGTTTCCATTTCTGGACTCAAAACACGTTTCTTTGCAGACGATAATAGCAACCGATCTGAGTGTAATGCAGCTACTCTACGAGAGCTGAATGTCTACAGGCTAATTCCAAACGATCTGAATATTCTTTTCTATGACATCATTTTATATTCAACCTCTTCGACCTGTGTATCGTATTTGATGAGTGGTGCCCTGGCGATGGAAGCAGTCGCTGTGGGGGTACAATAGGTCCTGACTATCACCGGTAAAATTGTGCTCTGCACTCATGCCGTCTGCTTTTCATTGTTGTATGGTCCCGGAATCCACGTGTCTGGGTATTCATTTAGGGCGCACTTTCTTCTAAGAGTCTCCCTTTTCTTCTTGTAGCGTTCTTGATTTCCAGTCGCTAAGTAATTGGTCAGTTCACAATAAAGGTTTAATAGGGGCTGGGACCGGAGAGGACGGATTTCTTGTTCAGAGGATGGATCAGGGTATATGTTAAACTCATTTTCTAGTTCCAAGAGGATCATTTCTTATTTTTGTATTGTATATTCAGTTATTTTTGTTTTCTGCAGTTGTCAGATGGCGGATAGAAGAATGTCAGGTAGTCTTCAGTAATGTTTTTTCAGGTCTTTGAGGTCCTGTGTTTGATATTTACGCCCTCCCATCGGTGGCCGCTGTGTCCAGTTAATTGGGTAGCCATGCCTTGTACAGAATTGCGACAAAGTCTCGTCGGTGTTCTCATGCTTTCATGAATACAAGAACATGCCAATGTCGATTGTACCCATATCTTCAGCAAGCGAGCGTTCACCGTTCATTTGATGCAAATCGTTGTTGGCTGAGTCTATCTTGGTTAGGAGAGAAGGCTTTTCGGCCGGTGTGGCGTTGAATAGCTGAGCAATAATTGGACTGACTCGCTCATGCAGGTCCATGTGATATTGTTCAAGAGACGGCTGTATCATGAACATGGGAAGTGACTATACTGAGGTTTCACTGCCTGAATCGGGAAGCGGTTTGTCCTTTTCAAACGAAACGGTCGGGGGCATTTTCGCTAGCTAAATTCTAACACTGTTGAGTGGATAGAAACGATGGCTAAGTTCCAAACGAGCAAGAGTAATCGGTGTATTTATATTAAGGCGCCCACGAACGCGACCATTTTCCGTGCCATCTGCCTGGTCAGAGCTAGATCCGCGACTCATGTTACATGTGACCTAGGTCCCTAGAAGGCGAAGCGAAGTCCCTTGTGTTCATGACATCCTGGGGTTGTAAGCTCCGTGCCTAGACTACATTTCACACCCGACGGTACAACCGATTTTAAAACCGATGGAGACAGTACACTATTGTGGAAGCTTCCACCTGGCAGGCCATGGTACGCCGTGATGCGAGGTATAGCAGCATGAGCCAAAATTGTCAGAGCCCTTCAAGGAGCTACGCCCAAGTTGCGGTAAAGTATATATCAAGGAGTTAATGGAGCCGTTCGACTTTGTTTCATTCTAAGTGCTGTACAGTACTGTCTCCATAAAGGAACATGAATCGCTCAACGGCAGGATGTGCGGCGCTTTCTTTGAAGTCGTCTTGCTAGAATTCTCAATGAACTGTCTACAGTACCCTGGTATTGCAACTTGTCTTCAGCAAAATCGATCCTGGACAAACCCACACTCCACCAAAGTGACTTCGTTCTTCTGTCGAGGACGTAATTCTCTTACGGCTTCCGGGAACAATCGCTCTCAGTATCCGAGCAGGTACGATAAATATCACGATGTCGATAATTTCCCCGTCGAAGCTGCCGTACCGCTTCCCCAGAGGTTTTCTTTATATCCCCCCCTTCCGTCTTCAGCCGAAGGGACCAGGATATCACTTCCGCCATCGCTGGGGCGTTTTAGGAATGCCCGCCGCTTAAACAAACCAGCGTAGTGGTGTCTTCTTCGAGGTTGCCAGCACGACGAGGAGTGGCCTTCCATGACTGACGAAGATGAATTGCCTCTTTGGAGTGATTGTGGTTGCGATAGCGGGGCCTGAAAGCGGAATTATTAAAAGAAATGGATGGTGATCATTGATTAGTGCCAGGATCTACTGTCTCGTTCTCTCTGCTCCGTAACGTCGCGTTGTAGATACTGCTGGCAGAGTCTGTTTCGCTGATCACTTCGTGGCCGTCAGGGTGTCCAGGGGGGGAATTGTATTCATGGGTGTCAGCAAAGGAGGCCGCTTGGGCTTGAGGCAGCTCGGACGGATGAGCAACGGAAGTAGAGCTCACGATTCTTTTATGTATCTCCTCAGCCTTGGGGTGCCCTATTCCACGGGAGCTCCCACTCATAGTGGACTCGGAAATGCCATTTTCAACCGAAGGCAGCGCCTGACCTGTTCTTACCAGGGCATTTTCGGGAAGAGTATGCCGCGTCCGAATGGCCAATGGTTCTTGGGATACTGCACCGACGAACATGTTGCCTGGTGTCAGTGTGGACATAGTATTCAAAGAGGGGTACCAACGACACAAGAAGTTCACATTTCCATTTATAAGAAGAGATGCAGTATCTATTATCTGCGTTCTTGGCATGGCCTGAAGGGCCTCAGAAAGGAGCGTGTCATCCTATTGGGACTGTCCGCTGGGGAAGGCGATAGGAAATGGGTTCATAACTCACGTCAACTCCATGATTTGGCCGCTCAATCTAGCCTAGTGGGCCCCTGAAGAAAGGTGAGTGCGTATTAATTCCATGATACTTGTTGAGCGCCCCCTCAGAAGGGTGGGAGTGACTCTTCGGCCAAAACTACAGTCCATACCCTCCTGCTTTAATTGCGCTCGATCGAGATCGAATCAAATCCTGGTCCATCTAGGGCTGTGCAAATAATGAATATATCAGCGATTTACGCCGTTGCGATTTACGCTCTAATGATAACTCTGTTCCTATTACGGACTGTTTCTATTGTCCACTGGGTCAGCCAGGCTGTCGCTATTATCACCGATGGGATTCATCTGCTTTCCGCGCTTGTCTTCCAGCGCCTAACGCTACCTTTTCTCGTCCGCAGGCACCGGATATGGGGTCCGTGGACACGAGCGGGTGTTCTCGTTCATGTTCTTTACTTGGGAACAAATATCTTTCTTCTTCTATTCCGCTCAAGGAAGCTGGTTGACGCGGGCCGTCTGGCAGGAGAACTGGCTACAGCCAACCTCGTCTTTCCTTTATCCGCCATGCACCTAAGTCATCTTGCTGATTTACTCGGCATTACGCGGGAGACATGCCGTGGAGCGCATCGAGCGACGAGTTGGACAATAGCTGCCTTGGTTCTCTTCCATGCACTTACGGTCACGCAGAGATCCGCGCTCTCACTCGACAACTCCCACAGTCTGTGGGCGTTAATTGTACGCTTCCTCGCTGAGGGAATTGCATCTTCACTAATAGTCAGTAGGGGGCCCTGGCGCTAGGTGTCCTTATTCTACTTTTCATCCCGTGGTTCCATCAATGGTCATATGAGCTCTTTCTCCGGACGCATCAAGCTCACGCGCTGCTCTTTGTTTACAGCATTTGGCAACATATTCCATCGCGCGGCTATTACCCAAAGCTATATCTTCTGGCTGCCGCGGGAACATTCGGGCTCATTTCCATAATTCAGCTGGGGATCATCTTATATAATAACGGGTTGTTTACAGATCTAGGCTGTTTCAAGGCTGTTGTGTCATTCTTTGTGACCAGAGGTGATAATAGAGACATGATTGTCTGTCGATTCCGCGTTGTTTTATCGCGATCGATCAGAGTAGAAGCCGGACAATACATTAATATATGGATATTGTCAATCAGCCTTCTTTCGTGGGCACAAACTCATCTTTTTACGGTCGTGTTCTGGTCTGATGTTCGACGGGATTCCATGGAGCTTCTTGTTCAGTCTCGCGGTGGTTTGATTGCCCAGTTTAGTCGCTACGCTTCCATGACTGTGGACAAATCGATGGTGTTTCTAGTTTTATTCAGCGGTTCACACGGAATCAGTAAGCCGGTTGACCGCTTTGGAGGCATCCTGATAGTAGTCAGTGGGTTCGGAATTGCTGATGCGATACCGTACTCGAAGAAGATCATCCGCGGCCATTTTATCTGCATTTCGCAGGTTTGTCGATTTCACTTGGTGTGGTAGGTTGATATGATTGACGAAATTAAGATTGTCGAGGAATCATTGAACGATATCTTGAAAGATGATATTGTGGAAAAAGGTTATGTTCGTGAGGTCTTTGCTTTTTAAGGTACTATCTGGCCACTGACGTTGATCTTAGATTTTGGCTATTTCGATTTATGTGAAGACGAGATTTGGACACAATCAATTGTCATTTGGAAACAATAATCGAGTTTGTTTCTACACTGGCATACCGGACTCGCAAATCATTGTTTTGGGAGAAGTGTCTGGTGTTTGGTTGACACGATCATCAAACAGGAGGTCAGCGCAAGACCAGTTGCTAGTGATGGGTACGTGTACATACTATATCTATGGGTCAGTGCTAAACTTCGACAGTTGCTGCGGTGGATAGCTTGCGGAATTCTGTGCGGGATGCGGTGCGGCGTCATGCACACCAGGGTGTGCGATTTTCAGAAATGAACTATCAACCCGCAGGCGATGCTCAGTGAGTTCATAAGCCATAATCGTCGGCTAGCTACCCAGTGATACTACATAATTCAGTCCAAAATAGTTCCCATACAACTTTAACACAGTCGCGGTCGTGTGTAAATAAGTCTAAACAGACTGGCCCAGTTTTCAATCACTGCTAATATTTTCCCTACAGCAAGCCCGAGCGTGAAACCGTAGCATGTTTTATCGCTTTCTCCCTAATAACTTTGGTACATTGGCAATTTAGCAAGAATTCCATACAGAATGTTAGCGAGTGGCTGCGGTCCTTTTATTAATCGCATTCCTGTACAGTCCCTCCAGGAAACGGGCTTGGGGGGCGGGGCGACATCGGGTTAACAGATTGGTAGAATATAGAACTCGTTGTAGAAGGGTACAAGCCCGTGTAATGGCCGTTGTTATAACTAGAAGACGGCGCCGCAGGCCCGGGCATGATCTTGTGGCTTTGGATGCCTGCCCGGTCTAGATCTGGGCCTGGATTTAGAAGGAACAAGGATCGTCCATCACAAACGCAGGTATCTAGCAGCGCAGGGCAAGCGAAATAAGCCGCAGAAGCCTGTGGAGCGACACATCTCTCCAAAGTAACCGCTTGGCCCGTAAAGCTACTGTGCACCTTGCATGTATCGTCTGATGGGCCATAAGGGGTTTCATGCAGATAGAAGGGTGCATTCGGAGGGGCTTCAAAAAGGAGCAATGCGCCCGCTGTCACCCCCCGAAGTTCGTTCGGCGTAAATTCCAATTGTCCGTCATCGCGATAGGACACATCGACAAGGTAATTGGGTACCGAGGGGACTGCGGTTAGAAGGCTATATGATGCGTTGGAGGTCCTTAAAAAGAAGTCAGCTATGTTACAGTAATTAAGATGGGCAGATCGTTACATACCCGACAATTGTGCCGAGGACCATGGAAATGAGATAAAACTGTAGGTAGACCATTGCGGGTGGAAGTTTTGTGTAGTACCGTGCCGACGAAGGATACCGAACAGGAGATTTATTTAACCCTTCCTCACTCATTGGCATCCCGGTTCAATTCGCAGAGTCCGGGCAGTGGGTGCCTGCCTCCGAATGCCAAATATATAACCCCAGGGGCGGATTCTTCTCTGCAGAACGGAGTAGGTTCACGAATTAAAGCAGGTTTTCAATCTACTGTGGCACACAATAGACTTACACGATGACCCTTCTATCCACGCGCCGGAAAGATGACTGGGGTATCTCGGAAATATAATTCATTTGCCATATTGCACCTTCACTTCGTAGCTAAAATATCGGGTTCCAGTTGTAGATCCCTAACATCCATCTACGTGCAGAAAAATCTCAACTTGCACAGTTCAATGAAAGGTCACATGTGTCAAATTATAGAATCATAAAGTATATGTAGATTCAGTATTAGCGGCTAGCGCCTAGGATGTATATTAACTCTCAGTCTAATTGTGTAGAATGAACACTCGTCTTCTCACGTTTAGGGAGGGCTCAGCCCTCATGGGAATGCTCGGAACTCGGAGGGGAAAAGCGCGTGCACATGGGGCACAGGCCAACAAGATCTCTGTCACGCACATCAAGAACTCTTGGAAGATCTCTCAAGTTTCCCGAAGTAGGAACACAGAGCGTCTGGTTTGGACGAGCGAGAGCCTGACGGCATCTTTGGTAGTCATAGGCATATAAATGACCACAGTCGGCGAAACGCATGCAAAGCTGTTCACACATTTCGGTTGTGATTGAGCAACGTGGGTGAAGTGGGTATTCGAGGTGGAGCGCAACCCCGCCTTCAGGGGTATAACAGCACATCATATGACATACGGATCGACGGTGGCACGTTCACGTGACCGGGAACAGAGGGCGAAACAAAGACGTGGAACTTGGCCACCTACATCATCCCACCTTCACGGGCACGACAGCACATTATATGACGCAAGGATCTGCAAATTCACCTCACCGTTAAATGACGGTGGGGAAACAGGGACGTGAACTAGACCACATACATCATCAAGGACTCGTGTCTGAACTTCGAACAATTCTGCGCTCTCCATATTCATTTTTGAACTCATACAGAAGTCATGGTCCACAATGGACCCGACCAAGCAGCTTCGACACTGGCAACCCATGTCGGTGAGGAAGAAAGACACCCTAAGCGAATCATTCTACGGCTGCGTGTGGATGAGTTCATTTCCTGCCATCCGACGGAATTCGACCGTGCTATTATAGCCTATCTCGAGTCTGTGGGTCGTCGTCCGGACGAACTTACCAAGCGCCTCCACCAGCCCCACATTGAGCCTTTCCAAGACCCAAGCATGAAGCAGAAAAGTTTTCATATCGTCCTTGATCTGGAGAAGGATATGATTAGTGAGCCAGATATGAAGACGGTTCCGCATGAGGCATATCGTGTTCGCCGAGCCCAGGATGGTTCATTGTAAGTACCAATTCCAAGACGATACCGGAGCCTATCTAATCCGACAATAAACAGCTTTGTCAATCGAATTGAAAATGCAGGGGAGGAGAAAGTCTATATAACCAAAATGCGACGTTTCACTGACAGCCTCTACCCTTGGGCGAGCTGAGATATATATTTACCACCCCACCCGTCCTGCGAGGCCGCCAACTTGAGACTATTACGAGAGAACGGGCCTCTCGAAAATTTAGTTCCCCACTTGCAGGCTACGGTTCAATGGGAAAATGTGCGTCAGGTGATCAAGTACGGTACGGAGACTGGTTTGAAGGAGAGGCGTATGATGAGGGCCCACCAGCCTGTAGTCAATATTAAATTGAGTGGAAGGTTACTCTCAACACAAAGATTGTGATCAAAGATACAGAGCAAGATCTGGTTCTTACCCCTGAGTTTTATTGGAGACTGTTCCTCTAACCAAAATTTAAAGAGAAGCTATGCCTCAAATAGCCACATAAAAAAATTATAGTAGACGACACGTCCATTGTGGTGACAGTTCCTCGGTGTGACTCGAAAGTTTGATAAGACAGATATTGACTGGCCTGATATTGAGAAACAGCTTCTCGAATGGGATCATAAGTTTCTTGCTGGCAAGAAATTGAAACAGCAGGGTATGCCATTGTCGCCACCCACTTCGAAAGATACGTCCGTTTGTGCAACCAAGGCTTCGCGACTTAAAATAACAGGTTTTCGTGTCGCCAATGTCCAAGCCCACTGTAACTGGCAACAGTCACAACTTGAGAATGAGTCGTAAAAGGATGAATTTCGCGACGCGTGACGCGGCTCTAACTGATAGGTTAGACCTGGGCCAGATCGACCAATTAAGTGACATACTGCATGAATCAGGGAGTGAAATGGGGTATTGCTCGTCGATTCGTCAGAAATACATATTAGATACTGGGTAAACAGCTTTTAATGTTATGTGGATAGTAGGGAGTCGGATTAATAAAATAGACAACTGGGTTGCCTTTATTCTCCATAGTCTATCTTCCTGTATGTGTGGTACAGCCGAGAAATGCTGTATACATTCATCTACGAGCACACCTGCATGCTGAGAATGGCCTTAAGCACTCTGCACCCTTGAACCAACAACTCCAACACACCATTCAAGAAAAGCGTCGAAACCTTGACCTAGGTTTCCTTCGTACTCATACTCCCGCTTGATGAATTACTTAAGCTCAGCTAAATGGGGTTGAGATCTGGAGAGTAGGGTGGTAGATATAGCAGCTTAACTCCCGCACTCAAGCACCCTGTTCAACCCGCTCTGTACAGTGGAAGGATGCATGATCCATGATAATTACGGACTTGGCTCTGACCAGTTAACCGACCCCTCCGGAAACCTGCGGGATCGCGCCCTTAGCGCGATCCCGCCAGCCAAACGGCCAGACGGGCCATACGGCCAATTTCTTCAATAATTGCACCCTCCTACTTCAACGCGTCATTATTCCACCACAACATGGCCAAATTCAATCAGGAAGTTGAAGATAGAATCCTCGCAGCTATCAGCGCGTTACGCAATCAAAAAAAACCGAATGTCTCAAAAACTGCGCGAGAATTTAACCTCAATCGACGAACTCTCGATGCAAGATGGAAGGGTAGAGTCTCTCTTGTTCAGCGAGCACCCACCAACTTGAAGTTGAATTCAGAGGAAGATAAAGCTCTCTGTCAATATTTAAACACTTTAGAAGGCTATCTCGTTCGTCCATTGCCTCGAATGATCGTGAATGCAGCCAATGTCATTCTAAAAAGGTCTCATACCGATTCAACAACTCCTCCGCCGGTAGTAGGAGAACACTGGCTTCAACGCTGGCTTAAACGCCATCCTCAATACAAAAAACAACGCTTTCGAGCAATTGAAATCGAGCGAAAACAAGCTCAAGATAAAACCAATATCGCTGCTTGGTTTGAATCGTTGAAAAAGGTCATCGAAATCAACGGGATTATACAAGATGATATATGGAACTTTGATGAGACAGGCTTCCGTATAGGAATGGGCAGAGATCAATGGGTAGTTACTCGAGATCTTCCTGGAGATAAGCCTTATATTGGTATCTCTTCCGAGCGAGAATCGATCACGGTAGTTGAAGCTATTTCAACCGGTGGATGGAGCGCTCCGCCACTCATTATTCTACGCGGGAATAGTATCATTCAAGGATGGTTTGACGTCACCACTATTGAAGGTCAATACTATATCGCTACGTCCGAAAATGGCTTCATGACAGATGAATTAGGCTTTCAATGGATTCAAAACTTTTGGCGTGACATTAAAAATAAGCGAAAAGGTCAATATACACTGCTTATTTGTGACGGCTTCGAATCTCATTGTAAGAAAGAGTTTGTTGAATTCTGCGAGAATCACAATATTATTCTATTCTTTCTTCCGCCTCATTCAAGCCATATTCTACAGCCTCTTGACGTTGGTGTATTTCATGCAATGAAGCACTGGCATTCCGAAGCAGTACTCAATGCAACATATTCGGGATGTGGTCATTTCAACAAAAATGAGTTTTTACATGCTCTTTCGACGATTCGCACCAAAACTCTTAAGAAAACGACTATCCGGCATGGCTTCAAAGAAACGGGAATATCGCCATTCAATCCAGCAATCGTTCTTGATCATCTTGCTGAACCTGCGCGGCCAGCAACTCCTTCAACGCCTAGCAGTCATGATATCATGTCAGTTGGCAGTACACCAAAAACGGTTGAGCGCTTCAAAATATTGCAGAATAAGATTCTTCATTTACATGATATTGAGCCTTCATTCTTACATGATGGTCTGAATAAGATCATTAATGGAGCAACTCAATTAGTCTCGTATGCAGAGACCATGCAGGAAGAGGTACGACGCTATACAGAGCCCTCTAGACAACGTGCAGAGCGTGCAAAGGCTTCTAAACGTCGTCTTCGCTCTGGAGGAGTTGTATCAAGTCATTCTATGCAGTCAATGAAGCGCCGAGAGATGAATATCGATATTAGCAATGAAAAAAAGAAGTGGAAGCGAAAATATGCTCAAGTGCTTCCCGAACTTATTGACGCGTGTTTGGAGCGAGGAATCATTCAAAAGAAAATTCGAAAAGTGCGTCGGAAAGCGGAGGAATAGAGGTTTCATTTGTATTTATTTTTATTTCAATAGCTTCAATATTCGTTGAGATATTCGAGTTTGAATAGCTTCAAGCATTAAAATTGGCCGTATGGCCCGTCTGGCCGTTTGGCTGGCGGGATCGCGCTAAGGGCGCGATCCCGCAGGTTTCCGGAGGGGTCGGTTATTGCAGTGGAGGAGTTGCTTAATGAAATCCTCAAGCATACGGGAATCAGTTGAGCGTTGAAAGACTCGAGATAGGAGGACACCCTTCTGAGTGTACAAGTGTCCTGCTTAGACTCTGGTTACGCGCCTTCCAAAATTATCGTATATAACAATTACTAATTTATCCAGATATAGAGTTAGCTTTCCTTCAAGCGTTCCAGGATGGTTTTAAGCATTGAGGGCGTGATACTTTGAGGGTGTCCAACGCCGTCCCGGGGTGTTCTGGCGGATATATATGTTACGGCTTGCTTGCTACAACCAGTGGCAAAGGCGATTTCAACTCTCTTTGACGACCCGTTCTCATCATATGCTAAATCTGTTCGAGTTGCTGGGATTTCAGATGTGCCGGCATCTTCGATTAATATGGAATGAAGCTCTGTGGTAGGGAGCGCAACTGCTACGTGGTGTTTGCGGAACGAAGCTCGTGATCATCAGCACGGCCCGATGATGACTCCGGAGGTTGGATTACGCTTACGTTATGTCACGTGCAGCAATCTGCCAGCCAGACTGCTGAACCTCGATCGTGGCTCGCTCTGTTTGGACAATGTTGTTGGTGACCCCTCCCCGGAGACTAGGCTTCTTCGCCCCGAGCCTAATCCTGGCGGGGACATGGGCGCTGGTACAGTAACCACGTAATTTGGGAAACCACCGGAGGTGAAAATTTAGACCAGCTCCCCTCCTCTCAGACTTAAGGGAGCTGCACGAACATTCACGTGTAAAAATTTTCATTGTTCAACTTCCGATTTCAACTAGGTTTCACCGTCGGAAGTTATTCAAGTCCCAAGGATGACCCCGAACGTCAGCTAGAGAAAAAGTAAACAAGTATGCGGTGTCAACACTGGCCTCTCTGCGGCCAATGGCTGGCTGAAGCCCGCTGCCCTGTCTTGACCAATAGTTTTTCCAAAAATAACCAGATTAGCTATGCCCCTTTCTCCTCTTTCTGTCTCACTCATTTTTTCAGCGAACTTCCCTACGCAGTCCTGCGACCAAGTCTCATTACAAATCAATTCCACCGGTTCAACTATGGACACTTCTGCGGATTACGTCCAAAATAAGACGCATGGTTTGTTAGGACACTTGAAGACTGTTTTCAAGAGGCGGAAAAGAGACAAAGATACGCATTTAACTGCCCCAAAACCAAGTACTTCAAACGTCACGGCGGATCCAGACGCAAAGAGTGGCCCTGGCAACCCCAAAAATGATATTTTCAAAATCCACGACCACAACGCAAAGGGCCTTTCGCAGATGGCGTACGACGAGTTAACAGAGAGCGACCCGAACAGTGTAGCAACACTCTTCCCGGCGACCGGAATCAAGCCTCAGGACGCCAGCGATGCGCGAACGAAAGAGATATTGGACGAGGTAGTCAAGGCGACAGAGGCGCAGTACAGGGAGAGGGGGATAAAGGATGGCATTCGGGCTACAGTCCACAAAATATTAAATTCGGCCCTGTCTTTTCAAGACGTTGTCAGTAATATTGCGAAATTTGATCCGACCGGGTACGCTTCCAGTGCTTGGGCAATAGTCTCTCTTGGATTGACGGTATGGTCCTTGCATCAATGAAGCCAGACAATCAGCTAATGACTTAGATGGCTAAGAATCACACAGACCTCCAGGGGGCTCTATTTGACTCGTCGGGATATCTGGCGGATCTGTTGACTCGTTGTGCCTTCATCGAAGAACAGTTTTATGGGGATAGAGATCCCGTCATAGCAAATGTCGAAAAGGAGCAATCGATCGTCCGGGTGTACGTGGCAATACTGCGATACTCCGTCGAAGTACGGAGAGTACAACAGTCTAACAAGGGAAAGGACATTGTGAAGAGTATAACAGCTATAACCAGCCAGTCACTTACGCAGCTCAAGGCCTCGATCAAGGAAGAGGAATCCCACTTGTATCAGTGGCTGGTCCTGGACCAGCATTTACACCGGAAAAGGGAAGCAGAGGCTATTCTAAATCACCTCGATCAGTTAACTGTGGATATCCAAAAAGTGCGCGATGCAGTTAATATGTTAAACCTCCCTTTTGCCAAGGGTGCATTTTTTGACTCCTTCGAGGACCAGCATGAGGATAAATGCCTACCTGGAACGCGGATAGAATTGCTTCAGCAGGTGCAGGACTGGGGAAGATTCAGTGATAGACATATATTCTGGCTGAGTGGAATGGCAGGCACTGGCAAGTCCACCATTGCAAGGACGGTAGCCCGAACTTTTAAAGAGGATGGCATCCTCGGGGCAAGTTTCTTTTTCAAGAGGGGCGAGGGAGATCGGGGCTCAGCTGCAAAGTTTTTCTCAACAATAGTCAAGCAATTGGCAGTCCACATACCTCAGATGGTCCCCGGAATCCAAAAAGCTCTTGGAGAAGATCCTACGATTCCAGGAAAATCGCTTCGAGAGCAGTTTAATAAGCTCATGTTGCAGCCATTACGCGCTACCAATCATGGTGAAGCCATGAATTTCACCGTGATTGTTATCGACGCCCTCGACGAATGCGAACCAGAGGAAGACGTGGAGATCATTCTCGACCTTCTACCCGAGATTGAGACGGCAACAAATATGGCAATCCGATTCTTCCTAACCAGCCGGCCGGAGATACCCATCCGTTGTGGGTTTGATCAGATCGATAAGAGCAAGTACCAGAATACTACCCTGCAAAATCTGGATGAAGATGTGATCAAACATGATATCGCCTTATATCTCAGAGAAGAATTCTCCAAAATACAGCAGAAGCGCCGGCATGCTCTCTCCCCTGGCTGGCCTGGAGAGGAAAGAATCGAAGCCTTAACAATGATGGCTTGTCCGCTCTTTATCTTTGCAGCCACGGTGTGTCGTTTCGTGGCGGATAGGCATTTTGACCCGGATAAGCGGCTTCGGGAATTTTCTACTGGTTCTACAGGATCAAAGATGGATGACACATACCGACCGGTTCTGAACCAACTCCTTGTCCAGGATGCTACGGACAGGACTAAGCTGATTGAAGAGTTTCAGAGAATCATTGGTGTAAGCATTCTTCTTGCTACTCCGCTCTCATTGAACTCTCTTGCGGAGCTGTTGCTTGACACACCAGAACACAATTCCAGCATTCATCTGGAACTTCGTACTCGTCTAGAACGTCAAATCAGCGCTCATCTGGATTTATTTCATTCAGTCCTGTCTATACCCAGCGATGCAAAACTCCCTATACGGACCCTGCATTTGTCCTTCCATGATTATCTGGTGGATGATCGTACAAAAGACCAAGTGGCCACGTCTCAATTTTGGGTGGATAAAAAGGCAAAGCACGAGCTCTTAGCCAGCCAATGTCTTACTGTTATGGGCCGTTATCTCAAAAAAAATATATGCGAAATGCCAAGCTATGGGACCAGCCGAACAGAAATCCACCCTGATTCTATAGCAAGATTTCTTCCACCCGCCCTTCAGTACGCCTGTCGTTACTGGGTTTACCATCTATCTCAAAGCCCAGCACCAGCCAGAATCCTTGACAAAGTGCTCACATTCCTGAAAAAACACTTGCTTCATTGGTTTGAAGCCATGGGCATTATGGGGATGATACCTGAAGCCATAGTTGCAGTGAATTCATTGCTCCAACTGACCAAAGTGAGTAATAAACTAGCTAGTGGCAGCTGACCGACTAACAATGGTGGAAAATCTAGGATAAATCCAGTAATGAGATGCATGTCTTCATATTAGATGCACGCAGATTTATCCTAAAATCCGCACGAATTGTTGATACGGTACCACTGCAACTGTACAGCTCTGGCCTAATTTTCGCACCACATAAAGCGTTGATCAGAGAAATCTTTAAGAAGGAACTTCCTGCTTGGTTATGCAGAGGTCCAAAGGTAGAAGAGTATTGGGATCCAGAGATGCAAACACTGGAGGGCCATTCTGAATCGGTTACCTCGGTCGCCTTCGCAGGCAATGGCCAGCTGCTGGCATCCGGCTCGCACGACAACACCATTAAGCTGTGGGATGCGGCCACGGGCGCTCTCAAGTATACACTAGAGGGCCATTCTGACTGGGTTTACTCGATCGCCTTCGCAGGCGACGGCCAGCTGCTGGCATCCGGCTCGCGCGATAACACTATCAAGCTATGGGATACAGTCACGGGCGCTCTTAAGCATACATTGAAGAGCTATTCTGACTGGGTTTACTCAGTCGCCTTCGCAGATGACGGCCAGCTGCTGGCATCCGGCTCAGATGATAACACTATTAAGCTGTGGAATGCAACCACGGGCACTCTCAAGTATACACTAGAGGGCCATTCTGACTCGGTTACCTCGGTCGCCTTCGCAGGCGACGGCCAGCTACTGGCATCTGGCTCGTATGATAATACTATCAAGCTGTGGAATACAGTTACGGGCGCTCTTAAGCATACATTGAAGAGCCATTTTGGCTGGATTACCTCGGTCGCCTTCGCAGGCGATAGCCAGCTGCTGGCATCCGGCTCGTATGATAACACCATTAAGCTATGGGATACGGCCACGGGCGCTCTCAAGCATACACTGGAGAGCCATTCTGACTCGGTTACCTCAGTCGCCTTCACAGGCGACGGCCAGCTGCTGGCATCTGGCTCGTATGATAATACCATCAAGCTGTGGGATACAACTACGGGCGCTCTCAAGCATACACTGGAGGGCCATTCTGACGAGGTTTACTCGGTCGCCTTCGCAGGCGACGGCCAGCTGCTGGCATCTGCCTCGCTCGACAGCATCATCAAGCTGTGGGATACAGCCACGGGCGCTCTCAAGCATGATATAAGCACTGGCAATGTTGCTACCGACGTTAGATTTTCAGAGCACCTGCCACTACTGATTACAAACATAGGAGCTTTTGATATCCGAAACTGCTATGAAAGCTTCTCAACTTCCTCCGAGAAGGTGGCAGAGGTATCTCTGAGAGCAGATCGATGGGTTACTATTCAGGGTCAAAGAGAGCTATGGCTACCTCCAAGTTACTATCCTTCATCGTCAACGGTTAAAAACAGCACGATTGCATTTGGTAGCAGGAGCGGCAGAGTTGCCATAATTGCGTTCTCAATCATGTGAGGTATCCTGTTGTGGACTGCATTTCTAGCTCTCTTATATTCAACTCTCTTTTCAAAAGAAGGGTAAGGGAGACCGGGGCTTCATATAACTATCTATAGAATTACCAGGATTTTCGCGATAGTTCGGAACCCTTCAGTAGGTGGTGGCAAAGCACCGATACTTCTAGAGAGCAGCGAAAAAAGCCGTTGACTCGCCCTGCTTTTCCGGTACTCAAGTCATGTGACTGCTTTTGTCCCATGTGCTGGAACTCTCCTGGCCCGAGGTTAACGTTTTCAACCACCGAGCGGTCTAAACCCCCGAGCGGTCCGTTTTCTCCACCACCCCCTATCTAATTCAGAACTTCAACTTCGACGCGTCTTTTTTCCACCACTATCATCGGAAATGCATCTTTCTAAGGAGAGTCGAATTCAGATGGCAGTATCTGCCTCTAAATCAAAAAAAATTCGATCAAAAACGCGTACGGCAGATCTATTTAGTGTTTCAAAAACGACTTTACTGCGACGGCTTAATGGAATCAAACCACGATCGGAAACACGCGCTAATGGCCACAAACTGACCGAAATCGAAGAGCAATTGCTTTTAAAGCAATTACTAGATGCAGAGAAGCGAGGATTCCCAATTCGGCCCGAATTTCTGCGTGGAATGGCTCAGGTATTGCTTGATAATCGCCTACAAGACATGTCTGCAGCCCTCGGAATCAACTGGCCTTATAAATTCGTTAAGCGTCATTCTGAGCTTCGTACGCGATATACTAGACGTATTACTTATCAGCGCGCAAAGCAGGAAGATCCAAAGGTTATAAAACCGTGGTTTGAGACTGTACAAGCAACTATTCAAGAACACGGCATACATGAAGACGATATCTGGAACTTCGACGAGACTGGCTTTGCAATGGGACTCTGCTCTACTTCAAAAGTGATTACTGCAGTTGAGCGAAGCGAGCGGCCGCGCAGAGTTATTCAAGGCAATCGTGAATGGGCCACAGTTATCGAGACAATCGGGTCAAAAGATGTATATCTACCGCCAGTTATTATATTGAAAGCAAGCGTCCAACAGGCTGCCTGGTTCCAAGAATCTAAGCTTCCTCGCGACTGGTGGATTTCTACTAGTCAGAATGGCTGGACGACTGATGAAATAGGCCTTCTTTGGTTGAAAAATGTCTTTGAACCGCTTTCTAAGCGCTATATGATTGGTGTTAAGCGATTACTTATTTTTGACGGCCATAGCAGCCATCTAACTGCTGAATTCGATAATTTCTGCAAGCAGCATGCAATAATCTGTCTCTGCATGCCTGCCCATGCTTCGCATCTTCTTCAACCGCTTGATGTGGGTGTCTTTAGTCCGCTTAAGAGAGCGTACGGAAAGCTTCTTGAACATCGTATGAAAGTCGGCAACAATCATATTGATAAAGAAGACTTTCTATCGCTATATCTAGATGCACACAAGGAAGTCTTTACTTCATCTAATATCTGCAGCGGTTTTAGAGGAACAGGACTTAAGCCGCTTAATCCAGAGCATGTTCTCTCTACGCTTACCTTTCAACTACGTACGCCTACACCACCACTAGTTGAAGGCTCAATTTCTTCTGCTTTTCAGACTCCGCAGAATACTCGCCAGCTAGATCGAAAGGTTCGAAGCCTGCAGAACAGCCTTAATAGAAAGCGGCAGCTTTCTAGCAGTCCTATTGCGCATATTCAACATCTTGAGAAAGCGGCGCAAATGGCAATGCAAACCCAGCTACTTTTAGAGCAAGAAATTAGGGCTATACGTGCTGAAAATGGACGACAACGCCAGAAAAAGGCAAGAAAACGTGCTGAAATAGGAAATGACCGCCTTCTTAATGTCCAAAAAGGTGAAAATCGCGTTCAGCAGCTTAACACGCAGCTTAATGAGCAGTCTGCGGAATCTACTCCGGCGCCTCGTCGACGAGCTCCGCAACGCTGTAGTTGATGTGGAACAATCGGACATACAATTCGGAATTGCCCTAGTAAATAGCTATTATTTCATGTATTTTAATTAATCAATTCTAATAGCGTTGGTGGTTTTAAAGGTCGATTTAGATGGGGGTGCGGAAGAAAACGGACCGCTCGGGGGTTTAGACCGCTCGGTGGTTGAAAACGTTATGTGTAAGAATCTCACGTAATAGACAACCAAACTGTCTCAACAGTTACCGACAAATACAGACTGTATTGTTTCGAAAATTACTCAGATAATCGGCTCGCGCTAAGCTCTTGGCAGTGGGGCTGGGAAACAATAGTCATGTGTCTGAAAGTCAGAGGAATTTCAAGACCGCCTGTACCATGGATAAGGTCTGAGCACCAAATTACACTATCCAATCGCTGAGATATACAGGGAGTCTTGTTAGAAAAATGCAGCATTACAGGTCCTAGAGCCTCGTCTGTTACCATTCTCGGCAAGGATGCTATATTACGATACAGTAACTTCGCTTATGCAAAGGACGTGGAATGCAATCCCGCTGGTTGGGTCTTATTATTTCGTATTTTGGTGCATCTGTATATGCCTTGCATTAGCTCTGTAGCCGTGGTGATCGGATATTACTGATCAGTAATCCGATGTCACGGATAACGTAATCGGACAGCGAACCGCCGCGACACCGAACCGCCGTTTCTCACTATAACTACCACTATAAAAATTGAAAATTTACAACAGATATAGATATTGATAAATAATAAGAATAAAATAATAAATTATATTATATTTAATCATTCTATCAAGACTTTATAAAAAATACAATTTTAATAGTCTCTTTTTATTCTCATTACAATATAAAATACTTCCATATTCAAGTATAAGAACTATCGCATTCGGAAATTAAATATTGTAATATGAAGTTTACTTTCTATAAAACCAAGTAACCTTTGGATTATTTTATCTGTTTTAATGTAAAATATATTTAATTTATATAGCTGAAATAGTCTTCGAAAGAAAATCTTCTATTTCACATAAATTATAGAGTTCCAATTTTTATAGTGGTAGTTATAGTGAGAAACGGCGGTTCGGTGTCGCGGCGGTTCGCTGTCCGATTACGTTACCTAGAGAACAATCAGCTAGTCGTCTGGTTTTATTTTGCTGACAGGAGAGACGCTCTGGATCCAATCTTTGTCAAAATCGCCGAAGCAAGCGGGGAACCCTGTCTAGAAGACCTGGCCAGATATTACCGCATGGGCTTCCAGTGCAGCGCGACTATTCTGCCCTCTACAACACTTATCTAAAGCCGTTCATCATTGGCTGCTGGCAAGCAAATCTGCCACAAAATAAGACGATCCGATGCGTGAAAGTGACATCCAATGCATTAGCGTGATCATCGACATGTGAGGCCTTTGCCAAGATGTCTGCCCCAACACGAAAGTACGAACGGCTGAACGCATTGGCCTACTATCTGAGCTGGCGGCATGCAAACTGTAAATGGCCTATCACGCACGTATTCAGCCGCCGATCGATTCCACGCCTATCATTGGTCTACGGACCCTGTCAGACAAAGAGGCGCTTCAGGACTCAATATTCATTATCGAGTTCTGTCCACATCTGCCCATGCCCTGTTAACAATAGCGCATTTGTTCGTAGTTAACTGATATTTCGCTGTGTAAATGTCTATCTGAAATTCGCCAGATACAGTTTAGGGTGAGTTGGCATTAGGACTTTGTCGATACTACTTCTGACCTAGGGTGTATATAGCCAGGTAGTACAGGAAATATGTTTTAATTGAACTGCACAGGTGCCATTTATCGTCCTTTCAAGACGAAAGGCTTTCGTGTCCTTGGCCAACGACCTTACAATGAATAGCACACGCTATTAGCTTGGCAACGGAGTTGGAAAATGATTTATCCATTCCTTGATCAGGGTGATTTCGAGATCACCAGGGCTAACAGTTTCCTTTGCTGTTCTTTGTCCATCCGTGGCGGAAAGATTACAAGCTTAGGGGATTTTCATTTTTCGGTGGAGTGTGTTATTTAGTATTATGGACATGACGCGTGTATCATCGTAGGGGAGAGTGCTGGACGGCCTTCAACCTGGAGGTTGGTGCATAAGCGTACGCGCTGACACGTCCGCTGGCCTGTCTAGATCAAGAGGGAAACGAGAAGCGAGTGCTGGTCCCAAGGGTCTTGGCTTCGGCGGTGAGTAGAATAGTTTTCAACGGTAGGCTGGACATACTTAGTCACAGTGCTGGACAGGCTGTTCGGAAGCGTGAATTTGGCGTTGGTGCTAGACAACCATGGCCCGCCCTTTTTACCAGATATAGCCACCAGGAACCAGGTTTATGGCGAGAAAGCCAGCGCCCCCCTTCTGAGAGCGCGTGAGGCGAATGACATTTAGCTGTTCAGTTCTTTCAGGCTTTCCTGGCCCCAAGTATGAATCTATTCCCACGGTTTCTTTGTTGTAAGTTAGGATGGCGCTCATTAGTTCAAGTCCCATACAGACGTGACCGAATTATTTGACGCTTATTAGCTAGAAAACAAGATCATCGATATCCAATTTTTCTGAACCAAGAAAATGTTTACAGGCAACGAATGACTGTATTACTTTAGTCTTGTGCACACATTTGATACCAATTTAGGTGCATTTAAATGATAGTTTTTTGGCTGCATTAAAACGGTACAAATTTCGGAATAGTGTCGGGGAACGTCACGCAGCCTTCGCTCTTGGCACCTAAAATCTAGACTGTTCGGGCGAAGACCACTCCTAGATGCACTAGCCGTAGGGCCTGGCCTCCTTGGCTCTCAAATAAAGAAAATACGACTAGTCTGTCTCTTGGAAATTCAGGCAACAGGGTTGTGATGCGAATACTCGAGTGTGCGTGGATAAGATGCTCGTTCCACTTACATAACTTAA